AAGTCATCCAGTTGGCTTTCATGCCTAGGGTGGGACTAGAACTCACCATCTCCTGGCAATTGGCCCAAAGTCACCCAGCTGTCTTTCATGGCTAAGGTGGGACTAGAACTCCCTGTCTCCTGGCGATTGGCCCAAAGTCACCCAGTTGGCTTTTATGCCTAAGGCGGGACTAGAACTTACCGTCTCCTGGTTTCCAGCCTGGTGCCTTTACCACCAAAATGCAGACTGTTGTTATTGTTGTTTGGGGAGTGATTGGTTTATGTCCCCAAATAACTTGGCTATTGGCTTGGGTGTGTGCTTCTCCACCCACATGAGAGCCTATCGGTTGTTCTCCTGACTCAAGCACTGACATGCAACCATATGTCAAAATGTGTCAAATCTCCAAGATTGGAATAGAAGGGGAAGTCCAGGGTTGGGCTGAACACAGAGGGCAGCCATATACGGAGTCCCCTTCTTAGACCTCTCTCCTTTGATGGAGAACTTCAGGGTGGGGCATGGTGTGCTTAGCAGGAGCTGCGGAGAAGATGCTACAAGAAAGAAATAACTTCGCGGTTTTGCTTACTTCTTTGCAGGTTGCATCCTAAGCTGCCTCTTACAGGTGGTGTCAGTTCAGGGAAATTTAACTGTGGCTTCTATACCTGAACACCCCATCCAGGGTCAAAGTATCCTCCTGAATATAGAAGAGAATGTCCAGGAGGAATTCGAAGAATGCGAGTGGACGCAACCCTCTGGAAACAAAATTATTTTTGTCCGCGGTACAAAATTAACCCCGGTTAATACTTCCCAAGTCGTAGTGGTGCATCAGAATTGTTCCTTGACTATCAAAAATCTGAGGCCATCGGATCAAGGAAAGTATACAGTCAAAGTCACTGTTCCTCCTACAAAGCAGCAAGGGACAAGAGGCTCCGTTTATATCGGCTCCATTTTTCTGATTCTTTGTGGTAAGTTTTCTCACAGACTTTTATTCACCCAGCAATGCCTAACCTACAATCTAAGCATTCGGAGGTTTGCAAAATCTAGTATAAGCCAATGAAGCAAAGAGGTTTGTTAAGCAATGAAAGAACGTTCTCTTTTAATGACCTCCTTAATCCCTTGTGAGGTGGAATCTGGGCAACTGAATGGAGCTGAGCGTTTACTGGCCGGATGCCCTTCCTATCACCAGGGCAGAGTTTTATTCAGCAGGTAGAATCTCATTGTACCCAGAGAGAGAGAAATATCTGCCTCTACCTAGGATCGAACACACAGCCTCCTGACTGGTGAGGCGAGAGCTCCTCCTCTAGGCCACCGCACCACTTGAAAGAAGAACAACAGATATTGTTCAAAAATTCAAAAAAATTTATGACCGATTCTGTAGGTGTGGCTTGGTGGGCATGACAGGGGAAGGATACTGCAAAATCCCATTCCCTCCCCAGCCTAGTAACCTGCTTTCCAGCTCCATTCTCCTGGGCAGGGCAACCAAAGGAGACCCAGCCAATCAGCTTGGACTCGGGAGGCAGAGGATAGATGGGGATGGCAGCGTCAGTCAGAGGTGGGATTTGCCGGTTCTCCAAACTACTCAAAATTTCCACTACCGGTTCTCCAGAACTGGTCCAAACCTGCTGAATTCCACCCCTGTTGTTGCTAGATGTTTAGCTGCCCTGGTTAAGCATGTTTGCAAACACATGGTCAGTGTGTTATTTAACAGGCAGAAATCTAGCTATGGGCAGTCCTCAAAGTACGATGGTTCCTTTAATGACCGTTCAAAGTTACAATGGCACTGATAAAAGTGACTTAGCAGCATTTTTCAGACTTATGACTGTTGCAGCATCTCCATGGCCCCATGATCAAAATCCAGGTGACTCATATTTATGACAGTTGCCGTGTCCCAGGGTCATGTGATCTCCTTTTGCAACCTTCTGACAAGCAAACTCAAAATGGAGGAAGCCAGAGGCACTTCACAACTGTGTTACCAACTTAACAACTGCAGTGATTTACTTAACTGTGGCAAGGAAGGTCAGGGCTAAACTCACCTAACAGTGTCTCACTTAGCAATAGAAATTTGGAGCTCAATTGTGGTTGTAAGTCGAAGGACAAAGGGGGAGGGAGGGAGGGAGGGAGGGAGGGAGGGAGGGAGGAAGGAAGGAAGGAAGGAAGTGTGATGACCCAAAGGGGCATGGCACAAAGGCAACACAGTTAGATAATCAGTAGGAGTCCCTTTATTAGCTCCAAATTTGCCCCCAATGTCCTGGTTACTTTCTGGCTGGAGAAAAACTCTCCCAGGAACAGCCTTTGGCTGCAGGGAATCAAGTCCAAAACGTGGTCAACAAAAACTGTAACTTAAAGTCCAAACAAGGCAAAATGAGGTAATTAGTCCAGCAAGGCAGGAAAAGGGATTCCAGACATAAAGGCACGGCAATTTACTCAACATGGTTGGGAGGATGCCAGGAATGCAGATAACCAAAGTCAACACAAGATAAACTCATGTTTGTTCCCAGCAGACACTGCACTCAGCTTGCATCTCTTTCAAATTCCCTCCCCAGCTGTGGTTAATGAAGGGAATCAGGGCCCTTTCCTCCCCCATAAGCCATGCAACCCACGTTGCTCCCTTCTCCGTTCCTCCCTGCATGCCCTAGGATGAAGAGGGGGTGGACCTGGGTCTTCCTCTGGACTCCCTCTCCCTTGTTCTACCTCTCTCCTGCTCTGCCCAGCTGGACTTTGCCCTTCCCCAGTTTCCTCCACAGCCAAACGGAGCCGCACTCCCACTCCCTGTCAGCTGTTTGTCTTCCTCCTCAGATTCAGACTCCGACAGGGGCATGTCAGGAAGTAAGGAAGGGGAAGGAAGGAAGAGCAATAGCACTTAGACTTATATACTGCTTCATGGTGCTTTCCAGCCCTCTCTAAGCAGTTAGAGAGAATCAGCATAACTGCCCCCAATAATCGGGGTCCTCATTTGACCCACCTGAGAAGGATGGAAAGCTGAGTCAACCGGTCAGGATCGAACTGCTGACAGTGAGCAGAGTTAGCCGAGTTAGCCTGCAATGCTGCATTCTAACCACTGTGCCACCACCAGGGCTCTGATGAAAGGTAGATCAAAACAATAACTTTTAGAAGGTTATTATTCTTCTCAAGGGTCAGAAACACACGTCTTGTGTTCCCGTTTTCTAGTTCCATCCTGAGATAATGGAATGTTCTTTTAATCAACTTGATTTGCAGATGAAAAACAAATTCGTATCAACGTCAGACCTCCAAGTCCCAAGGTTGGCCAGGATGTCGTGCTGACTCCCCAAGGCATCCCAGACAACTACGACCACTGCGAATGGAATCAAAAAACCGAATCTGGAGTGAGTAAACAATTCCAAGATTCTGGACAAGAGCCCAACAAACAGCAGGACCAACAACGGGGTTGCTCCTTGTATCTGACCCCGATAACCCAGGGTCATTCTGGAGAATATTGTGTTTATGTTGAGGTGTATTCAGGCCAACAATCCGCCAAAGAGAAGGGAAACAGAGAGCAAATGAAGTGCTACAGAAGCCGGACACAGTTAAAGGTCAAATCCGGTATGTATTGTGGTATTTTGGGTTTTTTTTTCTGGTCACTGAACTGAGATGAAGATTTGAGTCCTCCTCCTCCTCCACCTCCTCCTCCTCCTCCTCCTCCTCCTCTTCCTCCTCTTCCTGATGATGATGTTACCTAGTTGGGTAATGAAATGTTTGCAAGAAAACAACTAAGCTCAAAAAGTACCACAAATCTCACAATCCTCTTCCTCCTCCTCTTTGCAAGCCCCACTCTCTTCTAGCACTGATGATGTTACCTAGTTGGGTCATGAAATGTCTGCAAAAAAGCAACCAAGCTCAG